CCTTCCCTTTCTATAATCTACCCCTCGAACCCAAGAAAACATCTCAAAGGTTTTTGCTGTGCTTTTTAACCTTTCCTTAGGATAAAATAAAAAGTCGGTGGCGACTCTTGCTCAACCGAAACATTTGCGAAAACAAACGCAAAACCTAAGTCAGTTCTCCCACCGTATCACAGGGTCCATTAAAAAATATACATTTTATGTCCATCTGATATATGTGTCTACTATTCATTTATGTTAGACCAACAACCAACCTGATTATTTCGTCGATTCTAGCCACAGGTGCAAAGACTTCATCAAAGTTAATTCCTTCCTTATGAAGAAATTCTTTTGCCACAAGCCTTACTTTGTGTTGAGTTATTTCCCCTTTGAAATTAAACATCAGTTTATATACTCACTTGACATCAATTTCCTTCTTGCCTTGAGGTAATTCGACAAGTGATCAAATATTGTTGTCTTCGATAGACTTCACTTCTTCATTCATTACTTTCACCTACTTCGAATATTTCAATGCTTCAATTGTATTGACAGGTTCGACATATGCATAAAAAGCATAATGTACCAACTCACCTTCATTATCGACCACATCATTTGATGTATAACACAATCTTGCAACCTTGCAGGCATGTGTCTTATTCTCTGAGGTCTGTTTGGTCCTGGTTGATATATGGCTTCCTCTCGTCAAATTTATCTTTCGACTTCAACTGTTGGTTCTTTGAATAAGATTCTTACTGAACCTTTCTTGACATTTTATGTTCAATCTCATTCCTTAAGCTTATTTATGATTACATCTATGCTGATCACAATCTGCTTGTTCACTAAGTCAAACAATTTGTAATCTCATGTTGAATGATATCTAATTAGGATCATCTGACTCGACTTGTCATCAAGTTTTCTTCTCAATTAATTTGGCACATGTCTATGTGCTATAAATCTAAACACTTTCATATGACTCATGCTAGGCTTCACATCAGACCAACATTCTTCTGGAGTAATACCTTCTAGCTTCTTCGTCGGACATCTTCTAAATATATGTTGCTGTAGACACAACTTCACCCTAAAACTCTTTAGGTAAATGCTTTCCTTCCAACATACTTCTCACCATATTCATGACGGTTCGATTCTTCCTTTCTGCAGTTCCATTCTGCTGTGGAGTGTAAGGTGATACAACCTCATGCACAATTCTTTATTTTTCACATATTTTGTTGAACTCTTTCAAAAATACTCTCCACCACCATTAGTTCTCAAAACACTAAGCTTTCAACCATTTTCCTTTCAACCATAGAATTAAACTTGATAAATACTTCAATCACTTCATTTTTATTCTTGATCAAGTAAGTCCATAATTTTCGACTAAAATTATCTATAAATCACTTGGATTAGTCCACATACATCAGAGTATATGATTTCAAGAATAGCCTTCGATTTGCTTCCTGCATCCTTGTTGAAGTTGTTCTTGTGCTGCTTTGCCTGCACACATTCCTCACATATCTCGTTTAGAATGTTGATTTTTGGAAATCCTGAAACCATATTTCTTTTTTTCAAATCTCTGATGTCTTTGAAGTTGAGATGGCCTAGTCGATAGTGTCATATCAATTCATCTCTGCTAGCTACAGTCAAAAGACACTTGTGCTCCATCATATTTAGTTCGACCTTGAAGATTCTATTATGAGATATTAGAGCCTTTAAGATTAGCCTTTCATTAGAGTCGACAACTCTCATCATCTTGTCTTTGATCGACACTTTGTAGTTCTTTTCAACCAACTACCCTATTATGAGTAAATTTCTCTTCATGTATGGTATGTACAACACATTAGAAATTACTGATCTCTTTCCATCTTTCTTCATAATCATAACATCACCAATACTTTCAGCTGCTAGGGTATTGTTATTTGCGAATTTCACTGTGTTCTTCATCGAGGGTTTTTTGTTGACAAATCAATCTTTCCTTCCTGACATGTGTGATAAGAATTCTGATCCAAGTACCATTGTTCCTTGAATTTTTCTTCATCTTTTGTTGTAACCATCAACATCTCTTTTTCTTCATATTTTGTGAACTTTGCATCACTTTCTTGATTCTTTCACTTTTCTTGACAATCACTAGAATAGTGACCATACTTCTGACAATTAAAACATTGAATGTGACTCTTGTCAGGTTTTCGACCACCACCTCTTTCTCTATTTATAACACCACCTCTTTGATTGTCTTATCTTCTCTAATTTGACACGTTTTCTTCGTGTTGGTATCTTCCACCAGTCGAATTGTTGTAGCCTCCACTACTTTTTTTATCGAACCACATTCCTTTGCCTTTCTCATATTTTGCTGATTGAGCCTGTAAAACTACATCACTCTTCGACTTTCCTGCAACTCTTTCAGCCATTCTTTGTTCATGAGATTCAAGCGTCTCTTGAAGCTCTTTCTTCGACAAAATTGACATGTCCTTCGACTATTTTATGAAAACTACCACATGGTCGAACTTCAGAGCCAAAGATTTCAGGATCTTTGAAACAACAACTCTTGTTGTTAATGTCTCTCCACAAACCTTAATTTGATTCACTAGTTTCATAACCCTAGTGAAGAAATCAGTGCTCTCGCTATCTTCCATTTGAAGTAATTCATACGTTCTTTTGTGAGTTTGTAACCTCACATCTTTCACATTTTTCGCACCTCCAAAAGATTTCTTAAGAATCTCCCAGGCTTCTTTTGCAGATTCTACATCACTAATCTTTTCGAAATTGTTTGGACTCAGACATTGATGAATTATAAAGAGAGCTTTATAATTTTTCTTCTTTGATTTTTTGTATTGCCCCTCTTTTTCTTTCGAGGCGTCTTCTCCAAGCGGTTCTAATCAATATTTCACAAGACTCCAAAGATCTTAACGATAAAACACAACCTTCATCTGCTTGCACCAATTCTCGTAGTTATCAACTTTAAGAATTGGAAGACTTACTAGAAAATACTCGTTTGGATGATTCATAGCCATCGTGATTTTCTTCTTCTTTCCTTTATCGCTCAACCGGAGCTCTTGATATCAGATGTTGGAAATCCACCAAAATCTATGATGAATTTCTATCAATCTTGATGAACAAGAATGTTATCATCACACAATGACAATGAAAAAAAATAAGATTAAAGAAGAAAAGAGATTTAGGGTTTCTGCAAAGTTTCTCTCTGCCCACAAACTGTGGAAAACTTTCTTATTCACTTGCAACTGCAAATACTGTGAATGAATGAATTGATTACCAAAATAGGAGTTACTCCCTCTATTTATAATGGAACTTGTTTACTTCCTAAATCAAAAAGCCAAAAACTCTAAAAGTCTAAAATATCTATTTTGGAATGAAATCAAATATGTGTGTAACAACCTGTTTCGACAAACTTCGACAATATTGCAACTTAACAAACTAAACTAATTCAACACACCTTGTGTCAAACAACAATCTACTTTAACACAAGAAATTACATTTTCAACCCAAATCACTTAAATTGAAATCTAATTATCATTTTCAGGTGCTATGGTTCATACACTTTGATAGTTTTTTTTTCTTTATCGTTGTGTACATCATTCTTTATTTCATAGGGGGTGAGAAAATAACTTTACTTTTTAAAACAGGATATTAGTTAAACTAGGTAAGGTGGACCGTCCTACATGATAGACTCCCCTAACATTGTTTTAAACATGCGTTTTGTTCATATTAACGACCCAGGTGTGCAAAAAAACACCTCTTGTAACATGTTTGAATTGTGTGTTTTGAAAAAGTTGTTTGAGACATCTCTTTTTTTTTTTTGCCCTTAACATGTGTATTGTAGAAGCTCCGAAGAGTCATTTGATCTTAGAAGATTCATAGGATATATACGCCTTGCTACGTCAACAATTTAATTTGAAAGAAATTTGGCAAAGAGAATTTAGCAAAGAGGATTGTAAAAGAACATTTGGAAATTGAAAGCTAGCATTATGGATCAATGTGGCATATGACAAAGTTATGGAAAAAATAATACTCCCTCTCATCCTTATTGTAAGAGAAAAAGAATATGAAAAAGTAATACCTTGATAATTGGCCTTCTAAAAGAAGTAGTCAAGCAATTTTTTTTCTTCTAAAAAGAATATATTTAAGGTACCGATAAATTTTCTTTTTTAAAATTTTAGTCCTTAAATAAAGTTTCAAAAATAACGATTATTCTCTCTATTTTATAATAAACGTTTTATTTGAATTCTACACGATTTTTAAGAAAATAATTAAATATATTAATTTTAATAATAAAATTAATATCATTTATTATAATTAATAGAATAGTTGAAAACTAATAAATAAATGTATAATAATGAAGAAAAAAATATTATATTGATATTTTTTAAAAAAATTATTTTAAAATATAAAAAAATACAAATGAAATAATTATTATAAAAAATAGGAGGTAATATCCACTCATTTAAAATCATTCATGACCTATAAGAAAGTCCACTTACTAAAAATGTTAGTAATTGAGGAGCCAGTTGTCAATACGGTATTAGGTGATTGACAGAGTAAGAGGCATTAAAGGGAATATTAATTATTGGTATTAACATCGAAATGTTTTGTTGTTTTATTTTATTTTATTTCATAAAAATGGTTTGGGTACCAAAACCTTAAATTTTCATTTTGCGTATTTACATAAACCTTAATCCATAAATCCCCTTGTCCGAGTCACTTTTTAGGTTCATTTTGATGGTATACATTTTCTTCTTCTACTTAATCTCTTTTGATAATTAAAAAAAGTATAAAATTAGTTAATGATAATGTCCATAAAAAAGAAAATGAAGAAAGTGAGGGAGGGTAATGTAATGTGGTGCGTTGAGCGAATGAGCGTTAGTTAAACGACAGACAGTGACAGTAGTGCAGCAGCAGACACGTTAAAAATCCACAACCGTGTTCGTGTCCTTCATCCCAAATTTCTTGTTCTTTTTCTTCTCCTCTTTCTCCTTCTCCTATCTATCTATCTATCTATATTTTTCTCTTGATTTATGTCTATGATTTCCGCTTGGATCACTGATCTATTCGCTTGCATGGGGTGAGTGAACCCCTCCCTATTCCTATTCCTGTTCTTGTTTTTATTATTGTTATTATAGACAAAGTAAAGTTATTTGGTGGAATGAATTGACCTAACAAGTCTTTGATTCGTAGTGAATGATTAAATTAGGGTTTGATGAATTAGAAGAGAAAATGCATTTCTTTTTTTTGGAATAGTTGTTGTGGTGTCACTATTGTTTAATGTTCTGTTGATAGTTTGATTTACAGGACTGGACTTCTATTTATAGCATTTTCCACTAGTTATGTATCTTATTATTATACCCTTGTTAATTGCTACTATTAGGGTTTACTAGAGAAACCAATTGTGTTGATTGTATAGCAATTTCTTCAGCATTTTGGGATTGTTTGACTGTGCTGTCACCTGTCAATCTATATAAACTGTTTTAGTTTGAAAGGATAAAAGAAAATTATGGTGTTGGGTTGGGCCAGAAGTAAAATCTGGTTGCTACATGGCCTAAAATTTGTCATGGTTAAACCGTGGTTAAATAGGGCTTCATAAAATGTTTCTTACATTGAAACTGTAGCTAAATAAGGTCTCTATTTGTTTTGTCATGGTTAAGCTGTGACTAGTCTACACAGGACCTCCAAAAACTTAAGACGGTTCCGCAAGAAACCAATGCTTCTCCTAGGAAACAAATGAAAACTTAAAAGAAGGTTCTTTATTGTTGATGAGTGATGATGCCTTTTTAAGTAAACCACAGAAAGGGCTACATGGACTTGTAGACTTTACACTGTTCAACGTTTTGCTGTTATTTAACTTGTTTTATAACAGTGCAGTGGTTGTTTTGGATGCTGTGTGAAACCCACACCAATTATTGCTGTCGATGAGCCCGCCAAAGGACTAAGAATTCAGGGGCAAAGTATGAGAAAACCAACCACTTCGGATGGATTTTGGAGTTCAAGTCCTTGTGATTTGGATAACAGCACCATTCAATCTCAACGGAGTATATCTTCTGTCAGTACATTAAATCAAATTCTCTATCAAAGCAATGGAACTCCTACTGCAGGCACCGATCCTGAATTCGTAAACCAAGGCAAGTCTTATTTTGGTATTTTTTTCTTCCTAGCAATCAATATCGGAATGCTAATCTATAGTTTTAGCATAACACATGAACCTTTTGTATTTATGCATAAGAAATCCCTTTGGACCAAGATAGGAGGGGGAAACTTGACAAGTCGGGGATCAAACCACCAATCCCATCCGGTCCAGTCATGTGACCAAGGTTTTCTCCTGAGTTATTGGTGCATGGGGCATGATGTTGTTTAATTGTTTGTTTTGTTTCATAATTTAGATACATACCTCTAATAACATTTATTTTAGTTTTACCTGTATAATGTTGTATATTATTTGTGAAATTTACTTTTTTCTTTGAAGGAAAGATAAACGTTAAGGTTAATTTCTGTCACACGCATGCTGTTCTTCATTGCAGGTCTTGTTCTTTGGAACGAAAGCAGGCAACAGTGGGTTGGGCGCAGCCTATCTGAGAAGCAAAAGCAAGAAAAACAAGAATCTCGACTAAAGTATGTCAACTGCATTACATTTTCCCCGATTATTTAAATATTCTCTATCCAACAGTAAACAAATAGGGGCTTGATGTACAACCTAATTGTACAAACATATCCATGATATATCCTGATTCACCACTAAACTATATAAACAATCTGCACCTTTTGCTCATATTTTGATGTTCATTTTTCCTATCGTGCATTTGCAATAAAAACATAATTCTTAAGCCCTTCAAACTCATAGTTTTTGAAAGTGAAGTATTTTATTGTTATCCGTTCTCTTTATATGGCTTTATGCAACCACATCCCAACCACTTGTGCTTTCCTGTCTTTATTTCTTAGTTTCTCCCCTGTGGATGATGGCTTATCAACCATTGTATTTGTCACTTTGTTGTAGTCGGAACGCTACTTATGAAAGTTTGCTTGGGACTAGACAACCTTTCCCAAAGTCCGTACCTTTATCTGTAAGTGTCTCATGTATATTGGCTATAGTTCCTTCCTTAGACAACCTTTCTCATGTATATTGACTATTGAGGTGAGAATTCAAAATTACTAATTGGCATTTTGGTTTTCTATAGGAAATGGTTGAATTCCTAGTGGATGTTTGGGAGCGTGAAGGAATGTACGGTTGAGACTCGAGAGGTTAAAATGCTGAAGCTGTCTTTAAGTTAGTTTATACTTCTCCATATGCTGTACTTAACTCATGAAAGGCTTTAATTCATAGTCTTGCTGAGAAGATTAAAAGATCAAAAGATCAAACACAAGTTTGTTCTTGCATTGTAATTTCAAACGCCAAGACAATCCTTTTGTTTTTTTGCTCTCTTGTAAATGACTAAAACTGTTTTCAAACCAAAACCAGCATTGCTGAATGCAGAAGTTGTTACTGTTACCTGTAATTATCTCCATGGTGCCTGAGGTAATATTGTAATAAGACGTTTCTGTTATTTTACCCTCAACGATTGCACATACAGTGTTAGACTTTTTTTGGAGATATTTGTTCTGAATGAGGGATTATGGTTTGCATAAACATAATCAAATTTAATGGAAGAAAAATGATTTTTAAACATTTTTGTATGAAGAGGTGATTAGTATTTAAATTGCACAGGAAAACAAAACATGCTTTGAGTTTACTAGCTCAATTGTCTTACCTCTAGCTAATTAGTCTTGAATGCAACTGTTGACTACGGTTGGCAACTTCAGGGCTAACAAATTTTGGACAAAAATTGTAGGTTTAGCAAACTGCCGCACTGGTTGAACATGCCATTGTGTTTGCTTCAACTATTTTGGAATTTTAAGATAAATCTTTAATAATTATAAATAGGTAAAATATTTTTTTTGGTCTTGTATGTTAATGTTAAGATTTATTTTGGTCTCTTAATTTAAAAAATGTTTATATTGGTTCTTTAACTCTTAAAAATGTTTCATTTTAATTTTGTCTAATTAATGACGGAAAAACTTAGAAATCAATCGCTAATTAGACAAAAAGGATTAAAATGAAACGTTTTGAAGACTTAAGAGATCAATACAATTTTTTTTTTTAAGTTAAGAGGTCAAAATGAACCTTGATATTAATACATGGGATCAAAAATGATATTTTATCTTATAAATAATAGATAAAAGCATATTTACACCGGAATAAATGGCAGCAAGCAACAACCTTAGCGGCACAACTAACTCTTTCTCCTTTTTATGGCAATTTATTTTTATTTTTTATATATAAAAATTTCATCTATAATTTTAGATAAGGGTGGTACACAAACATGTCTGTCTTATTTAACCTTGTTCTGTAAAATCGTGCAAAAACACAAAGCAAAGTATAGTACAAAGTGTGGATGTAAAATCTTAGTTTGCCCTGCTAAAATATGAGGATGGGCTGGCCAGCGGACCCTGCATCTCTAAAGTTTAAAAGTTGCAAAAATTCATGTATAGTGTCCATAAGAATACGAGACGATGCATATATAGTAGAGAGTGTGATCTAAAACCTAGACTCGAGTTGCAAAAAATGCGAGTAAAATAAAAAATGTCTGACGGGTTGAATCTGTTTTGTCACCCTTAATTTTAGAAGACACAATATTGATATACATGATTTTTTTTAGCTCTTTATAAAAAATTCACTGTTTTAGGTGCTAAAAGTATGGTATAAAATACAATGAACTGCATACTCTTCAAAGGTATCCAAACACGCCTTAATATAAATAGGAAAAATCCTATAAATATAAAATAAAAAAAGATCTTCACCAACCTCAATGTCTTTGATCGTTTCTTGTAACTCTTTATCAAACTAAATAATTTTCTCTTCTATGTAAATTAGTTGGCAGTTCTTTAAGCCCAAAAATTATTCAGTGATACTCATGCATGATCGAAGAAGAAGCCCACTATGTAGATCCTTTAATGGTGGAAGAAGATACATTAAATCAACAATCTTAAAACCTCTCTTCATAGACAACCTTTAGATAAAACCTCCATCTCGACAAGTAGCCTCTCAAAGCAATTTCATCATAATGACAACCTCCTAGTGTCCAAAGAGAACACCCCCAACAATGTTTATTGTCATCACACAAAGTTTAAAAGATTCCAATTTTATGAATATTCAATGCAAGACTCAATTCCGATCCTTTCTCTTAGATGATATCAAGAGCTCTAACCACCTCCTCTAAATCCCATATGGTGGTTTCATCATCAAAAGGCCAGGCATGAAAAAAAGGTTTGTAATTATTATTTATCTTATGAATAAGATGGTGTAACACAAAAGTAAAAAGAAGTGGCTATAATGAATCACCTTGTTGCTCTCAAGTGGGTGGATAATATGTCCACACCAAGGTACAATCTCGTTTTCTCACCATAAAAAAACTCAACCCAAAAAAAGATAGATGACCATCTCACCCTTACCTCGGCGCCCACCTTGTGCAATAGTGTTAATTGATCTACCATGTTACAAGCATTAGATAAGTTGACCGTGAGCATAGTAAAAAAAACCATATCTACATTGCTTACTCAAAAACTTGTTTGCACTATGCAAAATAGCCTCAACAACGTCTAATACCTCAACCTCAAACTAATAGTGTTATGGACTATTCAAAAGGGCCAAAGGTGCTGAAGCCCAAATGAAGATGAAAGACGATGTTTGGAGTAGAACAAGTGTGATCATATTCTATGTTAGGCATATAAAACTCACCTGGAAACCTTGTCTTAGCCGTTTAGATTGATCTGACGGCTGACATATCTCACACCCCATCACGTGCATTTATTTTCTAACTAAATCTTTTATCTAAAGAAAAGATTGCACAAATTTTCAGGTATTATTGACTTGAGCGTTGAAGTATTAACTTTACAGGTCATCCCCTGTCTGTCCACCATATAAGAAGCCTTGAACTACCACTTCAGATCGTGAATTCATCCTCTCCAATCATCATCTAGTTCCAGAGAAGAACATTGGCACCGTCTGCACGAATCAACTCCTAATTCTTACGATTTTCCATAACCTTACATTTCCCAATTCAACTGAACCAACCACCTGATAGAAATCTAGATCTCCTTAAATTGAATCACATACCTCTTTTTCTCGATTAATTTTGTCAAGTTTAAATTCACATCCTTAAATGATGGCAACTTCCAAAGCTACTCACTCCTCCGTCCAATAACAAGCTAATGCAGCCGCTAAAGTTAACATGGACATCCAACCCCTTATCTAGTCTATGATTATACATCCTACATCTAACCATCACCTTCCAACCGACATCACTTAGAATAGATTTCAGCCTAAAGGACCTTTAACCTTCATAGTATAGATGCCATCAAAGGTGATCCCATATTCATTTTTTCTTTTGTAATTTCCTCCTCTGTCACAACCCCCTAATCAATTTATCCTTCCTCTCTTGGATTACATTAGAAGAATCAGAACAAATTGTAACAACAACAATACCATGCTTTTTACTAATAGACTATACTCAATCTAAAACTTTAGATCGGAATTCAAAAATCTGTCAATTACAACATGTAATTAGTAAATTTCATCAAATTATTTAAGGTCGAAAAACAAATAAAAATGTTTAAATTCAATAGGAAACATACGATATCTATAGTAAAGAATTGTGTAACATCAGTACATGAATTCGTAGAAGAAGTTGAAGTTGTCGGCTCTGGACCGCAAAGGCATAAAATTTCATCTACAGACATACCGAAAATTTTGTGCTTGGCTGAAATTTCTGGTATTCTTGAAATTTCAAATTTCTAGTTTTATGCTACCGGAAATTTACGTAATTTCTGGTTTATGTAATTGCTTTTGGAAATCGTCCCTGAAATTTTGAAATTTCTGGTAAATTGCATCCAAAAATTTAGATAATACAAAGAATTTCTGGTATACGCCAAAATTTGACACCGAAAATTTGGCAAGTGTACCGGAAATTTCGTTTTTAACCCCTTGACCAATGGTAATTTTTTTTTTACAAATGTAAAATTTTTAGAAGTAAATAGTGAAAGGGGCATTTTGAAAATATTTAAATATGAGAGGGTGCCATGTATAATTTGGGGGTGGCAGATTAAATTCTCTAGTAGTACAACTGTGCAACTAAGTTATTACAAATAGATTAAGACTCGCGTAGTGCGTGGTTGTAAAATAGTTTTTAGTGTTTTTTATTGAATAAGTTAAGATTTTGTTTTGAAAAAACATGATTATAAAGTTTATATTACAATAATTTTTGTGAATTATAATTGAGACAATGATATGAATTAATCACATATAAAAAGATACATTTTATTTGAAAGGAAAATACATGCTTATAAATTGAGAATGACATTCGTAATTAGTTTTCCAAATTTAAATAACTATGAAATTATCTTTCTTTTGTTTTGATTCTCATGTCTTTTTAGTAGTTATCTTTGATTTAAATATTTAATTTTAAGTTTTTAAAGGTGTATATTTATTTTCAATATTAAATAAAATTAAAAGTTTATTTGCAATTATTATCAAATAAAACTTTATTAGCTTTAGAAAATTTATATCTATTTTTGTCAAACTTTAGTTATCTATTGAGTAAAGGGTTGAAAATGCTAGTTGTTATAATAACTTAATTGTTTTTTAAATAATTATTTTAGTTTTATTAATGGGATTGTAAAAAAAATATTGATTTTTATTGGAAGTCCTTAGTAATTCAAATGCATTGTGGAAGCTTCTGGGATCATTTTGTTGAAAACAACTTATTAAAATAGCACTTCTAGAAATCTGGAATAACAAACTATCGAAGGGGAAATCAATTTTAAGGAATGTGGAAATTGATTTACATTGCTTTCCTGCTTTCTGTTTTTCTGTTTTTAGTTGGGGAAATTGATTACCCCCTTTTGGGAAATCGATTTCCTCCCAGTGTTTTGTGTTTTTTTATCTGTTTTTGAGTCTGTTTTGGTTCCAACGTGTACTGTCGTATCCTATAAATACTCCCTCATGTAATGTTGTTTGAATTAATGTCATTTTTACTATTTATCCTCAATTACTCTCTCTCTCTCTCTCTCTCTCTCTCTCTCTCTCTCTCAATATCTCCAAATTCACTTCATCTTCTCCAATTAACCACATTTTACCATTGATTCACCACTCAAGCTTTGTGCTTGTTCCAACATTTTGCATCAAGAGCCTTGGTTC